TTACCATGTCCAGCGCGCGGAGCCACAAGGTTTCCAAGCACTGATTGTGTATAACTCTGAGGGTAAACCTCCTATCGACATGGCGGGGAGCAAATATGCTGATTTGGTAGGTTTTCATTGACTTCATATCAGTTTTTTCCCTTCTTTTTTCTTTGTATACTTCCAAATTTGCAAGCAAAAGCTTCGTATCGTGCTAGTGGCTATCTTTTTAGGTCCGCATTCCTGTGCTGATGATCTCATACCAGTGTATGTTAGCCATTAACAACACATATCCAGCTAGTCAAGGGTGAGGTGCTTTCTCATTATTGCTCATTTAAATAGAAAGCATTGGTTTTCTTTAGGTATACCGTGCAGGTGAAAGTCTCGCCAGGTTATTACGACTTGTTCCGTTATCTAATTCCATTCGTTGTCGTCGTAGGATTCTGTTTCATCGTGTTGCTCATCAGTTTGGTACGTAAGATTAATTCTGTTTTCTGAAATCATTGATGATAGCACAGATTTGCTCATTTAAAGATATTCAAGGCGATTCGCTTATGCCGAGAACGTCGGCGTGTGGCGCGCAAACGTCTCTCTAAACGAAATCTTCGTAAAATTCCAACCAAGAAGTTTCGAAAGGGTGAGTTATTTCACATCTCTTTACTCCTTTGCATTTTCATATAATTTTTTATTAGGTGACGAACCCGAAACTTGTGCAATTTGCCTCGATGATTTCATTGAGGGTGAGAAGCTGCGCGTTCTACCCTGTCGTCACAGTGAGTACAGCAGAAAAGACATTCAATAGGAAACAAAATCAAAAATATCTGTTTATTTTGCAGCTTATCACTGTAAGTGTATCGATCCATGGCTAACACAAAATCGTAAAGTCTGCCCGATGTGCAAAAGACGAGTTGGTGCGAAGAACTCTGACTCGGAGTCCAGCGACGAAGAAAGGCGCCAAGAGGTTGTGAAAATAGTGGCGAATAACGTTTAGTATTCATCTCTTTCCAGCAGCCATCTTCTTCTCGAAGCACTTCTGTTACTCATACTTACATCGAAGACGAAGAGCGTACGGAAACTCCTATACGTAAGCTGCTGTTACTCGTTTTGTAAAGGTATTGTGCCTTCGTAGCAATTGGTGATTAAGAAATTCCTGTTTTAGCGCAGCCATTTTCTCATACTTG